AAATCTGTTAAATATGTTTCTGCAAGTTCTTCATGACTGAGCTAAGCGTGCTTATTTTTGGAAATCAAAATATGGTCACCCTACGATATATGCAGGTTCACCTTTTTGAATAAGGTCATAGAAAACACTTCAATGCATTTTAAAGGTGAACTGTGTTGGACTCGTTCCTGGCGTAATACGGACACACTTCTGTGTAATGAATTCTGCTTCCTGTTCACTTCCACAAAGTTTCATGCAGGTGTTCGTGTGATCATTGCAGCTGATAGCTGTTAAATGCAGTTCTTTGTATTCTTGAACGACAAACAAAGACACGGCTCAAAGTGGTCAAAGCTCAAAAATCTTTTATTTACATTCCCAGGAACGGAGACCTGAACACACGAACACATAAGCTCAGGTCTGAAGCACAAAAAGGAAGCCTGGTTATTTATACACTTCCTCTCGACGTCACACACACTTTACGTTTCGATCAAACACCTACTTAGTGTCACTTTCTGGCTGCAGCTCCTATTTTCTCTGCAAAAGCAGTTTCCTGTCAGTACTTTAGGCACAGTCTGTACTCAGAGTTGGGCCTCTCCCAGAACAATCTAATCAGTAAATTAGCATTCAGATTATATATCTGGATATATGCATGTGTTAGTGTGATCATTGCAGCTGACAGCTCAGCTCCACGTTGAGTTTCTCTCCACTGGGTGGAAGCATCGCCTCACTGAACTGCAGATCCACTTTGTAAAAAGCTCCCGTTTCTTTGTGCGTCTATTCAACCACAATTATGAGTCATTTGTTAGAGATGGGCTAACATGTCTGACATGCCTTTGATGCGTTACACATGATGCATTCATCCAACGTTCATTTCTTAACACCCACAGATACTGTTTGATTCCCAGGAAACGACTCTGACAGAAAAGTCACGAGTTATATCCACTTTATTAGGAATCACTCAGTGTCCAAAAACACCAGAAACAAACACAAAGTACAGACACACCGTGAGCACAGGGGGCCGGGGACGAGCAGAAGAGCGCGCTCAGTGGTCTCAGAGGTAAGGTGTGTGTGGGGGGGCACCTGAGCGCGGAGGTGGGAGGGTTTAAATCGAAACTCTTTAAGAAACAGGAAGAGTGACGGAGGGCGGGCTGCGTATAAAGAGGGAGTGTGTGTGCGCGCGTTCACCTTTGGGTGTATCCCTCCAACAGCAGCAGGTACTGCCGTGTCTCCTCCGTGTCTCTCTCTGCTGGGAACACTTGAACCGTCCGGATGGATCCGCTCTCCCTGAAGTCGCTCCTGCTCCTGCTGCCGCTGCTCGGTGAGAGTTTGAAGCTCCGTGCGCTCCGTGCGCTCCGCCGCTTCATGAGCTTTATGTAGTTTTACTGTGTGCACATGCTCTCCCTGACTCTCATTATTATTATTATTATTATTATTATTATTATTATTATTATTATTATTATTATTATTATTATTATTATTGTCTAATGTGCCTCTGTGGGCTGTTCTCTGCAGGATGCTGCGTGGGGCAGGGCATTCTGCCCGAAGGTCCCGTGGCTGCACTTGTGGGGGGAAAT